GCACATCTAGACAAAATAACGATCAATTAAATCCGCGAAGTTTCATGAAAGTTCGATAAGTATAATTTTTACATTAAGGGTTGTAACAGCGCTTCCTCTTCTTTACTTTAGGGGCTGTAGACAAGGAGATCCTTTTTCACCATATCTATTTCTGTTCGTAGCTTAAATCATGGGTGTTATGATCCCAAATAATGCAATTATAAAGGAATTGTACTTAATGACAACGAACATAAACTCTGGCTATGCGGACGACACTCAGCTTTCCACTCGGCACTGAGGTAAGTCACAGGGCTTCAATGCATACTCTTTCAAAAATGTACAGCATGTAATAACTGGTCGTAGGTGTGATGACAGGTAGTCCAGTTAAATTAGGTCATGATTATATCTTGGGCTGGCACCAAGGAACCCTTTTAGGTTTTAGGAATAGTTCTAAATGCACAATTAGATAAGCTGTGGATTATCAATACACGGAGTGAGTGAGTGAGTTGGGTTTAACGACGCTTTTAACAGTATTTCAGTTATATCACGGCGTGTCAGCTTAAAGTACTAGGAGCGAGTAGTATCAGTGAGAGTTGTAGCAGAGGTAGCAGTAGAATTACTGCTATTACCCTAGTACGTACACGGTTTATAGTGAGAGAGTGAGTTGGGTTTAACGCCAGGTTATCGCGGCGTGTGAGCTTAATGTTGGAGGAAAGCCCGAAGTGATGCAGATCTCAGACGTTAACCACTTCGGTGAAACCCACGAGCAAGGGTATGGTGCTGACAAACATAGAAACATAATCGGGGCGAACCGGTATTCGAACCCACAATCATAGGTTTCTGGCGGGCCCACGGAACGCAAATCTGCACAGTGAATTGCGGCGCCTTATACGACTGGGCCACCCGTGGCCCTCAATACACGGAAGAGAATTCAAATTATTTTAAATATCTTGGGAAATTGGTGAAAAGGAAATCCCCTTTCAATAGGTAAAATAACAGTTATAAAATCTTTAGCACTATCTACTTTATTACATATCTTCTCCAGACCCGTGAAGATTCCGGGGTAGAATAGGTCTTCAGCAACCCATGCTTGCCGTAAAAGGTGACTATGCTTGTCGTTAAAGGCGACTAACGGGATCGGGTGGTCAGGCTCGCTGACTTGGTTGATGCATGTCATCGATCCACGCTCATGACATTAATCACTGGATTGTCTGGTCCAGACTCGATTATTTACAGACCGCCGTCATATAGCTGGAATATTGCCGAGTGCGGCGTTAAACAACAAACCAATCAAAAACATATCTTCTCCACCGCACAGAACTAGTGAGAATGTTTTTCCATTTTGTTGGGAACGATAAAACTGATAAAATAAAAATGAATTCACCCAAACGAAAGTCTATCATGAAGGTGGAATTAGAATGATTGATGTTCCAACATTTATTAACTCATTAAAGATTTCAGCCACGAAGAGAAATTTCTGCAATTTAAATTTCGCAAACCCTTGTAAAGTCCCAAATTGAGAATCTTGCAAGGCTGATATTTACAAATATACTACTATTATAAACTCTTTTCGGAAGGATGCCTTCGCAGCTTGGAAAAAGTACAGATCTTGTTTTAAAACTGATCAAACTCACTTAGAAAACATTTTAGCTGAACCATTATGGTTTAATCATCAGTTGAATAACTCTCAACGTTTTGTTCATAACTGGTTCATTAAGGGTGTTTGTACAATTAAATATCTCTTCAACTCTCTAAGTTAAATGTCTTTTAAAGAATTTAGGAAGAAATATAAAGGTACCTACTTAGTCTTCGAAAAAGGTTATTAGGAATATTCCTAGAGCCTGGGGAGAGATTCTTAATGATACTGTCCACGAAAGCCACAACACCCTGAACAAGGTGCATTTTTTACGATATACTTACGAAAGCACAAACTGTGCCAGCAGTACGTACAATGTGGGTAAACATTACCGATATTTAACAACCATGGAAGGTCATATTCCCTAATTATAGAAGATGTACAAAAGACACAAAGTTTCTCGATTTTCAATACAAGTTTATTCACCATATAGTATACACTAAAATGAATTATAAAAAATGAAAAAAAAAAGATAAAACGTGTGTACTTTCTGTGAGGATAACCCGGAGAATAGAACACGCCTCTTTGTTTCCTGTGAGGATGTGAAAATATTCTGGAATGATCTGACTGTTTAAATAAACTTTCACTGACTTTGCAATACTACTTGTATTTGTATTTCAACACAATGAACTTAACTTGGATGAGTTCTGAAGAATCATTAATGATATTGTTCAAGAAAAGCTGCGTTGCAGAGTTTGAGGAAAAATGGGCAATGCAGTTACTGAATTACTTTAATAAGAATAGTTGCTAGCTCTCTCCATATATGCACATATATCCATGCTCCGACAATATAATACCATGTCCATACATCAAGACATATGAATATGTTTCTGTTAATACGTTACATGTATTATATCCGACTGCATCCCACAGTCACATACTTATCCTGACAATGCACGTGAAAACAAATATGCCTGAACATGTAGGAATGTAGCATCCTACTGAAATGAATAAAAACATGAAAAACAAATGTCAGGTACAACCACCGTTACCAAATTAAGGAGCAGGGTAATATATGCCCAAGGTAGAAGCAAGTATACTTTCAAAGCGAATTTCAAAGAAGGTGCCACAGCAATCAGGTTTGTCTATGGTGTATGGAATCATAACTGGATATGTTATCCCACTCATGTATGCAATGGTTGTTACTGTTAATCCTCCACCTACTATATATATTCTGAATGTCCCTCATTCAGTCTTGCTTGACAACGGTATAAGGATATATACCGAACCGTCGCTTTTCCCAGTATTAAAGAAGTTGTTATCCATAAAAATTGAGTCTATCTTAACAAAAGTTCCTGTGACATTGAATAAGATTTAATGCAAAGTTATGTTATTTACCCAATCTGAAACAAATTCGGTTTCCAACAGGTAAAAGACTCAAGTGTTCAAATGGTTTAATGTGCCATACTGACTTTAGAAAATGAGCGATTTCATAAAAAAAACATGAACATGCCAAAATGTCAAATCGCAAATCAATAGCGTGTGTGTCCACCTCTGGTTGCGATGCAAGCAACATATCTTCGTCTCATGGAATGGACCAGACGTCGCACAAAGTCCTGTGGGATATCTGTCCATATCTACTCGAGCATGTTTCGAAGTTCTTGGAGTGTCTGTGGAACATCGAAGGCGCCGATCCATGTGCTCGATTGTTGAGAGATCAAGGGAGCGAGTCGGCCAGGGGATGACATTCACGCTGTTTTGTTGAAGAGAATCCCGAACAAGTCGAGCAATATGAGGCCGGGCGTTGTCATGTTGAGAGGTAATGCCGGTAGAATAACAGGGCCGATGATCTCGTCGCGGTAGCGCTGTCCATTGAGATTTCCCTCTACCACTATCAAACGGGTCCTCTGTCTTGCTGTAATCCCACCCCGTACCATAATGCTGCCGCCCCCGAACCGATCTTCTTTCATGACACAATGCTTGACGTAACGTTCACCTCGACGTCGGTACACTCGAATCAGCTGTGGCGGAGGTGAAAACGAGACTCGTCAGTGAATAGAACTTGTCCCCACTGCATGGCCGTCCAGCGTAGACGCTGTCTGCACCACTGTAGACATGCTTGGAGGTGGTTTCCTGTCAAAATGGGACGTCTGGCTGGTCTTCTGGCGACAATCCCTGTACATCTGAGGCGACGACGTACGGTTTGTGAATATATTCGTCGAAGGCCAGGGATGCTTCTTGCAGTCACTGTTGCTGGCTGGAATCGATTTCGTAGGTGTGTTGTTCGAATCCAGTTGTCGTGTCGATTATTGGTAACGCGAGGCCTGCTACTCCGAGGATGGTCTCTGACTGCATTCGTCTGTTGCCAACGTTGCCATAAACACCAAATGGTGTTTCTATAGACGTTAAATTGTCTTACAACATCACGTTGACTCGATCCTGCTTCAAGCATACGAATGGCTCGCAGACGCTCATTTTCGGCCAGGCATGGCATTTCGTAATGTTGAATAATTGCGTAATTTTGTTATTTTTTCTGAGTGGTTGTTGTCAGCACGATGCTATTTTTTCTGAGTGGTTGTTGTAAGCACGATGCTGAACAATGCATATGGAATCCCGTTAATGAACATGTTTTTATAGCTATTCTTGGGTAGTGGGGCTTGCATAAAAGTCAACTTTTGCATGAGATTGCATGCTTTTCTGTAGGAGTGGCGTTTTTGTGACTTGATTCCATACATGTACTACAATATTGAAAACCAAACTTTACTTGTTTGAAAAATACACTAAACTATTGGTGTCACAGCAACTTTTGTTAGAAACAGTAGTACCTCTACAGTAGTACATTGCCTTGTATTTACTTTACCTTTGAAGCGGTATTTACCTTGCCTTTGAAGCGGGAAGGTCCGGGGCCTGTAAATACTCAGCAAGTCATGTATGCACTTTGTTGGGCCCATGAGCAAGTTTGGGTTTTAGCTTTATCAAAAGCTTAAGAAAAAAGAACCTGTCAACTGCAGCTATTTTCAAGACATAAGTGGATATTTATGTAGGCAAATGCGTAGATGTGTTTAACTCTCTGGTCTCTGGCATTTTGTCTTGTTCCTTTGCAGCTGGTTTATGTAATTGACCGTTTCTACAAACATTGGACATTAGACATCGGAACCGCCCGTTCTATATCCATATTTCGTCTCCAGATACGATAAACCTTAGTCAATGTCGTTATATTTCTCAGATTCTTACGTTTTTAGTTGTGAGGTTATGACGCAATGACACACACTGAGATATGTGTCACGTTGTAACAGTGAGTGAGTGAGTATGGTTTTACGCCGCTTTTAGCAATACTCCAGCAATATCACGAGTGGGGACACCAGCAATGGGCTTCACACATTGTACCCACGTTGTAAAACATCATCTGGAGTTTGGTGATTTTTCTATACAAACTCACGGGAGGCGACATGACCAGAGACGAATTTCAGTTTCTCACAGCGTTGAAGGCTTTATAATTAGATAACCATACACAACCATCACAAGAGGGTACATATGATTTAGACTAGAAAGAAAGCGTCATAGTAGGTACCTGTAACAGGATCACGGATAGTCACTTGGATGACCACTGAGCATATAGACATGGATCGTTTTAACAGCCTCTCCGTCAATACCATCCTTCCAGAACACGTCAGTCTTGTCCTCGCCCCAGAAGGTGTTTGTTGGTTTCAGGTGCCCAGTTGGATTACATTCAGGAGGGTTGGAAAACCAGAAGCCAGACTTTGTCACACCAGCTGCCCCGGAGTGGTCCACATCTGGGGTACTGAAGGGCGTGTCGCTCACAAGACACTCTGCTGGAAGCTGCACCCATTGTGGGTTTGGGAAAGTGGAGGAAAAGGTCATCTTGTAGTCGTCTACTTCAGGCCCTACTAGGAAGTCCACGTAGAACCGCTGCGCTAGTTGATTGAAGATGTCAGCACCAGGTGTCCAAAGTTCAACAAGAAGGAAGTGGGTTCTGCCACTAGTTATGTAATGTACATTTTCATTGCCCAACCAGTGGTCACCTGAGAGGCTACCGAACCCCATCTTGTACTCCTCCCATGTCCTGGTAAAATTCTCATTTCCTGAAGTCTGGGTCATGATAAGCGTCCTTCCTCCATACATCATGTTACAGTGGACCTTGATCGGCCCAGGAGCACCGTTCGGATGGCACAGGAAGTTAGCGTCTTGGTTGGCATAGTAACTGTAGAGGTTCCCTTCGTTGCAGTCTGCAAGAAAGCAAAGGGTGAAGGGTATGTCCTGTTTAAAATCGTACCTCTTCATCAGGCGAGTTGAACCTTTCGCACAAGGCAAGTGTGCGACGCGATAGTTTCAAGGACATATCAGTCTGAGTTGGATGGAATGTTTATATCAAAACGGCTGTGTTGCACAACGCGCAATAGCAGTGACAGTGATAATGGTGAAAGGTGTTTGTTTGTTTGTTGTTTTACTCCGCAGTCAGCAATATTCTAGCTTTATGACGGCAGTCTGTAAATAATCGAGTCTGGACTAGACAATCCAGTCATTGACATCACGAGCATCGATCCGCGCAATTGGGATCGATGACATGCATCAACCAAGTCAGCGAGTCTGACCACCCGATCCCGTTAGTCGCCTCTTACGACAAACAAAGTCGCTTTTTACGACAAGCACAGGTTCTGAAGACCTCTTCTACCCCGGACTCTCACGGGTCGGTGAAAGTTGTAATAGAATAGGTAGCAACAGGTGTAGTTTTAGAATCTAGCTAGAAACCGTGTAAGTACCAGGAGCAAGTAGTGTCAGTGAGAGTTGTAGCAGAGGTAGAAGTAGAATTACTGCTATTACCCTAGTACGTACACGGTTTATAGTGAGAGAGTGAGTTGGGTTTAACGCCAGGTTATCATGGCGTGTCAGCTTAATGTGGGAGGAAAGCCCGAAGTGATGCAGGTCTCAGACGTTAACCACTTCGGTGAACCACACGAGCACTGGTATGGGGCTGACAAACATAGACACATAATCGGGGCGAACCGGTATTCGAACCTATAATCATAGGACGAAACTCTGCACATCGAATCGTGGTGCCTTAAACGACTGGGCCGCCGTGCCCCCTCCACGGTTTATAGCTAGCATCCTAAACTAGACCTGTTGCTACTTCTTCTATAACAACTTTCACCACTGTCACTGTCACTGCTATTGCTCGTTAGAAAGGGTGTGAAACAAAGACGTTTTGATATAGAATGTCCAGATGAGCACTGTTTGTCTGGAACCATTCAATCCAACTCAGACTGATGTGTCTTTGAAACTATCGCGTGCCACACCTGCCTCGTGGGAAAGGCTCAACTCGCCTGATTAGTCGTGGGCAATATGTTAAAGTATCAATGTTTCTGGTCTTGTCAGCACCATGTTCGTTGCACTTCTACTGGCGAAAATATAACGACTTATCCTGTTAATTCCAAAAGACGTACGACATCTTCAAAGCCTGTCAACTCGATGTTAGCCTGGTAGTTTAGTACACAATGTCTCAGGCATGAAACTTATCACAACATCTAGCACACTGCATTAGTTTGTGATTGGAGTACTGGTTGTACTGCTATTGGATTTGCATGACCATCCTGCACGTACAAGTGCTGATATAATTAATGTGGTGTTGTTTTCCATGCTTGTAATGATAATAATTTTTATCCGGTATATTGTTGTACCGATGTAATGCTATAATGGGGCTGGTGTTTATATACTTAAGTGCTTCCATCACTGGTGTTAATATACTAAAGTGCTTCCATCACTGGTGTTGTTATATATAAGTGCTTCCATCACTGATTGTTGATATACTAAAGTGCTTCCATCACTGGTGTTGATATACATAAGTGCTTCCATCACTGGTGTTGATATACTAAAGTGCTTCCATTACTGGTGTTGAAATACTAAAGTGCTTCCATCACTGGTGTTGATATACATAAGTGCTTCCATCACTGGTGTTGATATACTAAAGTGCTTCCATCACTGGTGTTGATATACCACAGAGGTTATCTCACTGGTATTGATGTACCACAGGGGTTATCTCACTGGTATTGATATACCACAGGGGTTATCTCACTGGTGTTGATATACCACAGGGGTTATCTCACTGGTGTTGATATACCACAGGGGTTATCTCACTGGTTTTGATATACCACAGGGGTTATCTCACTCGTGTTGATATACCACAGGGGTTATCTTACTGGTATTGATGTACCACAGGGGTTATCTCACTGGTGTTGATATACCACAGGGGTTATCTCACTGGTGTTGACATGCCACAGGGGTTATCTCACTGGTGTTGACATACCACAGGGGTTATCTCACTGGTGTTGATACACCACATGGGTTATCTCACTGGTGTTGATATACCACATGGGTTATCTCACTGGTATTGATGTACCACAGGGGTTATCTCACTGGTGTTGACATACCACAGAGGTTATCTCACTGGTGTTGATAAACGATAGTTGTATTCTCACTTGTGTTAATATACGGTAATGATTCTCTTAGTGGTGTTGATATACTATCGTGATTCTACCTCACATGTGGTTATATACATTAGGGATTCTCTCACTGGTTTCGATATACTATAGGAATTGTCTTACTTCTGTTAAATGCTATGGGGATTTCCTCACCAGTGTTGATATACTGTGTAGATTCCATCACTGGTGTTGATATCTTGTCAGGATTTCCCCACTTGTGTTGACACACTGTATGGATTATCTCATATATAAGTATTGATATACTGCAGGGATTATCTCATTTGTGCCATCTCTCAGTTGTTTATAGGGATGCTGTGACTAATATTGCTGAAACTGTTTTGACCCAGGACGTACCTTGCATGAGCCTTTCGCACAGGTCACCAACGTAGCCACCGTAACAGACGCAGGTCCCGCTTGAAATGTCATAGTCTCCACCGTGAAAACATGGGTTGTTAATCTGTGAATGACAAAACGCCTTCAGTGTTAGAAGAAAGGAAGACTTGAGAGAATGCCACACAGACTACGAAGGACAGATTCAACACATATAGCAGACTAATATCAGAGCAACGCCCCCAGTGGTTAGCGGAATCGTGTACTGATTTAACAGGCAGGGTTGATATACTTCTGGAGTGTGGTTTAGAAGAGTATTACATGAACCGTCAAGTATATAATACCTTGTTCCTCTTTTGCTCTCTATGCATGTTACACGAAGATATAAATGTTACAACCAATTTTCAGTTGATACTGTGCGAATCCGTGCAGATACGTACTTTCCTAACTGCCCAACTATGGCAGGAATTGCAGGTGTTTTTTCCCGCAAACCACACTTACTCATATCTAAAATCGCTGTAGACAGATCGTGTTCCCGGTTTCACAATAATGCTGCCAGATGTCATGCTAAACACACTATCACTCACTTACTTCAACTAAGATGACCGCTTCCGTGGTCTAGTAGACAAAGCGTCTGCCCTGGAGCAGGAGGTTGAGGCTTTTATCCCCAGACACGTCATACCAAATGATGTTAAAACATGGTGTCATGCCTGGCGCCTGGCGCTCGGCATTTAGGGAACAAAACTGGTCGGCTCGGAGTCAGTGTGCTGTTTGTGAGTAGGATATCCATGTTTAACTGCGGCATAGTATCTCAGCGGTCTAGCACTTTAAAACCTGCATTTGTCCGGATTCGTACAAGAACACACACACACACACACACACGCGCACGCACGCACGCACGCACACGCACACACACACAAACGCACACACACACACAAAAACGCACACACAAACGCACATACACGCGCATGCTTGTCCCGACGTCAAACCCCGTGTCACCACACCTCAACTAAGGTTGTCAACGACTTTAAGGGAACGTTGGACATATGTATTAAATATCGCATAATCTTTAAGCATGATCATGGCTGCAATTATCTGCTTGATGTAAAACCGATTGCTGCAGTCATATATATATATATATATATATATATATATATATATATATATATATATATATATATACCCTATGATTACATTAAAACATTTGTGTCTCGGAATATGTCACATACCCATTATAGCAGTGTTATATCGTAGCGCCAGAACACCGAGATTATGTCTAAACCTGAGTCCCCAGTGTGGGCTTAGTGTGTGACACACATTCTCGGTGTCCTGTAACATGCAAAATACAAAATGCAAAATCGTCGTAAGCAAAATATTTTCTCAGTCCCCGAAAATGCCGAAATGCTGAGACTTTGAGTGAGTGAGTATGGGTTTACGCCGCTTTTAGCAATATTCCAGCAATATCACGGCGGGGGACACCAGAAATGGGCTTCACACATTGTACCCATGTCGGGATTCGAACCCGGGTCTTCGGCGTGACGACCGAACGCTTTAACCACTAGGCTACCCGACCGCCCGCTTAGACTTTGAAATCAGACCTACACTGGTATAGTGGTACATACAACTCAATACTAACGGATAGTTGAGAAAAAAGACCATAATTATGCAAAGCGTGACACCAACATGGGACTCGGCACAGATGTAAAGTAACAAAGGCAGCTTAAATACGTTTTCACCGAAGTTACATAAATGAAAGTAAGCATGCTTATCTAAGAGATATTCGTCACGACTGAGTTCGAAAATTGAACCCTTAACCAAGCTTGTTTCATACAGTGTAGGTTCGGCCCTCGATCCATGTAATTTCACTTTGTGCATAGTGTCTGCAAAGAGAACAACTGTTCTCACAAACTACTCTGTGTACATGAATGAAACTTTGCAAGCGCCTCTGAAACATACATATCAAAGTTCGAAATTAGGACCATAGATTATATTTGTCCAGAGTTACGTCCCTTGCTACATGTGTTCTTAAAATTAGTTTGTGCATCCTGTCTGCAATGAGGATGTGCCCCGAGGCAGGGGAGAGTAATAATGTTGTTTTCTTGTTATTTAAAGTAAAATACCGCAAATTATTCCCCCTCAATACCATCCACTTTTAACACTTCCAATACAGAATAGACCTTCAATAGCTCATTTAGAAATAAGAAACGTTACAAGTAAGAGAGTTCAAGAAGTGTCTGCAGCTTAGGGAACAAGCATATCAGTGAATCACTGTGACAGGTTCTGGAGTTGTACACACATCAACTAAACATGCCTTCGCACAAAAGCAGATGTTCACATAACAACTGCCAGTATCCCGGACAGGAACAATGCAACTGATTCTAGAGGAGAACTATTTTCCTGGGTAAACAATACAGAAGGACTTATGTTTGAAGAGAATTGTACATCAGATGATAAGTTACTCCGGTCAACATACTATGCCTCCAAGATCTAAAGCAAGTGATATCAAAGTGTTCTTCAACAATGCTCCCTTTATTGAAAGGTTCAGTCTCTTGCAATGGTGCGTCACACAGTGGATATCTTTACCAGAGATCAGCCTGTATATGCCCATAGATGACGAAAATCTATTTATCGCCAACCAGATCGCTGGCTTTTTTTCAGTGCGGGCTATGTCAAGGCCAAGGTCGTCTATGTCTCATTGTGTAGCTAAATGTATTGGCCTGAAAAGAGTGTATAGTTTTATAGGGTTTATTGACAGTGGGCGTTGTTGAATTCTTCCTCGAACGTACATCCCTTTCCTTTTATATAGTATACTGACACTGGGTGTGACCATATATCTTGTATCTGCTATTCTTTGCGTTGAAAGCCCCTGTGATTGAGACTGAAACATAAGAAAGTGACCACTTCCCTTCTATTTGTTAAACTGCTGACCCTATTGACGTTCCACCAACAACCAGGTTGGACTTTACAAAGACTAATTGGTCATTTTATGAATTATTATTACTGGACAACTGGACATTACTGTTGAAACAATGCCCTAGTCCTCTGCAAATCCACAAAAAAACATGGTTTAATGCAAACAGCCACGAAAATTTAGGAGAAAGCGGGAAAACATATTTAGCCGACATCCAGGCAGACCATAATTTAGATTCCAAGGCACGACGTGCTTTTGAACGAAATAAGCGTCAATCTCACACGAACTATGTCTCCAAAATAAATTCACATACCCATGTCAAAGTCGTGGAACATTATAATAAAAACAAAAGGCAAAGGTTCAAAATCATCTATTCACCATCTCAAGGAGATGACACGTTATTAACTGATAAACTGATATTGCCAATAAGCTTAGAGAAACGTTAGCAAAACTCTCTTCAATACCTAATTTTGCCCCGGGGGTTAAGACAACATCGGACAACACAGGAAAAGAAAAAAATTTCTGATATGATGAAGACTCTAATTAAGTCTTTTCATTACATGAGCTACATACTGCCTTTGGGCAAGTTCATGAGACAGCAAAGGGATCTGATAATTTACACTACCAACTTTAGAAACATTTACTTGAATCATGTCTTGAGACACTTTTATATATATATGTATTGAAATGGATATCGTGAAATTTTCCTTTTGCATGGCACTGTAATCCCAATACCTAAACCTGGCCGGGATGAAACATATCCCCATACTTATCGATCTTTAACTTGTTGTGTTTGTAAAACCATGGAAAGAATGGTAAATATAAGTTTAGTTATTTGTGGAACTGTAATTGTGTCCAATAAAAATGCAGAAAGTATGGGACACTCAAGTAGGTACAAATAAACTACATGAATTTAGACCGAATTAGGCCACACCTACTTGGGATGTTATTGTGGACATGAAGTCATTCTCAGACGATGTCGCACAGGCCAAACACGTTTTACACACGAATATATATTAAAAGGCAAAGATTCTCCATTCTATTTCCTTTGTGATGAACAGTTCACAGTCAAGCATATCCTGCTTGACTGTGGAGACTTTCCTATCACGAGAGATCATTTTATTTATTCATTTCATAAAGGATCTTTTTCGTTTATTCTTGTTTTTTTAAAGAGACATTGAATTATTTCATAAATTTTGAATTGTTTTAGAATAGTGTGATATCATTGAATGCTGTGTCATTCAAGGGCTTAAAGTAGTGTAAAATTATTGTCCCTCAACAGTGGCACGTGAGTCCATCTATATTAAAATGTATACTATAAACTAGTGTTTTATTTTCTTGATTGTGGTTTGTATTCTAATATTCGTGAGCATTACATACAACTACTTGTGACCAAAATGATCGCATATATCCTGCTGGGAACAATGCAGAGCGCAAAACCACTGTAAGTCGGCATGATTCCCAGTATGTTGGTCTAGCTTTGGTTGCTTGTGGTCTATAGCCTGGTTTTATTTATGTTAACTAATCTACCAAATCATTATTTGATATTAATCTTGAAGTAAGACGAGTTCTGTGGATGAACAACTTCTTGATTACAATTAGTGCGACGTTTCGGTGTAGATCCTAACACCTTTATCAAGCAAGTGTTTGATCATCCATAGAACTCGTCTTACTTCATCACACCAACTTCTAAATGCCACTGAAAGAAGATATTAATCTTGTTTGTTTCATAACTCAACTGTGTTATTTACCTTACTGTTTTTCTGTCTTTTGTTAATAGGTATGTAATAATAACAAACTTGTTATCATCGCGATTTCGCTGCAATATTGCCGCTGCGATGTAACGTTTGAACTCACCCACTCACTCACTCGCTACATGCAGCTACACTCTTTTGTCAGTCTCCATGGAAGTAAAACACTGAATGCAGGGTACACCTGTCTTTCATACTAACATGCTAAGTACACCCCTTTGTCATTCCTTCAAGAGCAGGATGCAGCTTCACATGGTAGCTGGACATGGACTGAAAGGAACGAATACACAATCGAAGACAGTAGATCTGATATATTATTACTGACATGATTGTGAAGCTTCAAGACACAACACGTTTCCTTCTCTCCACTCACATCTTATTTAATGGTTTTCAACTGGCAGTTTGCTTTATTCTTAAAAAACCTAAAACATCAATCAACACTTTGATCAACTTTGATGA